AGTGACCATACCATGTTGTTTAACATATTTGAAATTGGGATCGTTTAGATGAGATTGCATTTTAATATTGAAATGAAATTGTCATAGCGTGTAACGAATTGCACACTGAAGATTCGACATTGTGAATGTCATTGTGGACTTGAACTCTAGGACATGGGTTATGTGGATTCAATCTTGCATGTGCATGTAAAGTCATTCCTAGATATTATTTGAGATGTATAAGTTTGGTTTAACTTATTGATTTTGTATAAGTTTTGAACTTATTGTTTATGGAGGCTTGTAAGGATCATGTTCATGTGATGGCTAGGGTTTGGCCTTAGTACGGATTCGTGAGTTTCCTAAGTCATATGAAGTGCGCAGTAGGTAGTACCTTGTGGGTCGTAATTACCTGGAATAACTTATACACGTGCGCACTAGGTAGTACCTTGCAGGCTAGTAACCCGGAATAACTCGATTGATCTACAGCCAAGGATCCTAGTCTTTCCACTATTTGATTTCGCATTTAAATTCAAGTTGTTAATCATGGATTACTTGTAACTTGTGAATTTGTGCTTATCTTGCATTTTAGATCTTATTTGGTATACTTGAGACTGTATACTCGCTTTGTGTATTAGATCTTATTTAGTATACTTGAGACTGTATACTTGTTTTGTGTATTTAAATCTCATTTAGCATACTTGAACTTGTATCTTTGGTTGTATATCTAAACCCTATTTAGTATACTTACGTATTGTATGTTTAATTTGTGCAATCGGATTTCATTTTGTATACTTGTGTTGTGCATACTTGTCTTATGCGTAATTCATTTAGCTTAGTGTATTTGTTCCTGTATACTTGATTTATGAGTTTTCCATGCTAATTGTATATTTGTATATGCATGCTTAGACATTGCATAACTTGTTTAATATGGATTAGTATACTTGTAAATGTATGCTTCTACATCGAATATCATGTTTTAATATTGACTTGCATACTTGAGCATGTATACATGTATGCCGTGGTTCAATTCAGTTGCATGAGTAGCTTAGGATGCTCCCTGAGTCTAACCTTTGACATAGACATTAGGTGGCATGACCCTTTTTAAATTGTTTCAAGTCAATGTAACAATCTCTAAAGAAATCGAGTCGATGCATGTTCATTCTCTACGAGTAAATTTGTTTCCTCACCCCGAAGTTACTGGGGGGTATTTCAGGTATGAAGACTTGGTTTGTGATGCTTATCATTCATTGGGATGACTTATAGCTTTTAAGTTCCATTTCATGCAAGTGTTAGCATGAAATGCCATTTGTAGCCATTTTGTCAAATGTGTATATTTGATTCCAAACTTGTATTATGTGCTTAAGCACACTTTTTGACACTTATTCCATATATATAATTTGTGGCCAAGGGCCAAACTTTATTTGAAATTCATGAATATTCATCAATGTTGAATTTTGCCTTTAATGAGAAAAGTATGAAAACTAGGGTTTTAATATGTCATTCTTGCACCGGTGTGTGCATTTTGTGTGAAATTCATCATTTAGCATTCATTTGCCATATGTGAGGTGTGGTCAAGGGTCAAACACTATTTATTTTTCATTTTTGTATTTTAGTTTACATATTGCATTTTTTGGCTAAAATAGTAGAAACTGAGCCTTTAAGGGTTCATTTTCAAATCGGGTGGTGCAAAGTGTGTTCCGGTACCTCCACTATATCTCATTAATCATGCATGAAGTGTGGCCGAGGGCCAAATGGTAATTTGAAATCATTTGTCAATTTTAAATTTCAAATTTTCCATTTCATGTGCATTTTCGCCCTTTTGGCCGTTGGGGGGTCAAATTTTGTATCGGTGGTATTTTTAAGCCGTAGACCATTGTAGCACTACCTAATAGGTAAGTTACGTTTGCGTGCATGATCGTTTTCAAGAAAAATCTCATCCTTGGTGATTTGAGCCTCCTATGGACTCATTTTACATTTTTATTGCATAATCTGATTTTAGGACATTTTGGGGTTTTTCTTTGAAAAATAAATTCCGGTCTTCATATGGTCACTTAGAAAATGTGATTTTAGGGGGGGTTTCTTTTTCGTGTTTTTCCAAAAAATGTCGTCTTGGTACTGAAAATCTCTTGCAAAGTTCAGTTTTCAGTTTTACATTTAGCAGCTTTATGACCCTCATGACCAGATTTCATGGAGGGGTATTCTGGGCATTTTATAGTCCATTTTCTTTGTTTCTGTTTGCGCTACCGAGTAGAAAATTTGATTTCGAGAGTGGTTTATTTTCCGTGTTTTTCCAGAAAAATTCATCTACTAACCCGTTTTTGCTCTCAGTTGCAGATAGTCACTGTAGCATTTTTTAACCCTCTTGGTCTAAACTAATCTAGGGGCATTTCAGGAAATTTTTTTACAAAATAAAATCCAGTCTTGACATGGTCACATAGAAAGCATGATTTTAAAGGGGGTTTCTTCACAACATTTTTTCAGAAAATGTCGCCTTGGACCCGAAAACCCTATATCAAATCTGATTTCCTGTGCGCACTTGCACTATTTGAAAAAGTCTGTTGTAAGGGCATTTTGGGGATTTCACGTCAAAAATAAAATTTTATTTTGACATGGTCAGCTTAGAAAAATTATTTTAAGGGGGGCTTCTTCTTCGTGTTTTTCTAGCAAACATCATTTAATACCTCAAAATGGCACATGAACTTCAGCATTTTGCCCAGGTTACTATTCACGGCCGCGGCGACATCAAAACTTTGTTTTGACTTTTCTCTTCCATCCAGACTCCAAATCAAGTGATTCTTGAGTCTAAATTGATTAATTTTTCGCTGTCTTCCCAGTGGTGTGCTCGGTAGCACCCGATTTTATGTTTTTTCAGAAATGACCATTTTGCCCTTGGGGCTATTTTTGTCCGGTTTTCTTGTAATTTGCCTCCGCTACTTTCTTTTGAGTTTCGTGACTTCATGGGAAGTCATGGATGTGTCTCGAGAATAATTTACATTCTAGGGACGTCATTTCTATGTAAAATGACTATTTGGCCCTAGGGGCTTATTTGTCATATTTTCGACATTTTGCTTCCGCATCAGTTCTCATTGAGTTCCACGACCTCATGGAAGGTCATTTTGACTTCTTAGAGTCTTATTTTCCATTTTCGAATCATTCTTTCGATTCATCACTGACGCATTAGCCTAAAAACCAGGGCCATCACACACACACACACACACACACACACACACACACATATATATATATATATTTGAAACTTTTTTCTCTATATATATCTTTAAACTATTTTAATTTTTTTTTTTTTTGGAGTTTGGAGCAAATTTGCTTTCTTTAGCTTGCTCTTTATTTTCTATTTTTATCTTTACTTTTCTTTGATACTTTTATTTTTATTTTCTATTTTTATCTTTACTTGTCCTTTGCCAGCGTACTCCAATAGTGTCCTTTTCAGTCATTTCACAAAATTATTTAATTTTACATATTTTCTAAAATAGTTCAGTAAGGGTAATTTAGTCAATTTAGGGTTTATATTTATCAGAGGGACCTATTCGCACTAAACTGAAACTTTAGGGGTGTTTTTTTACATGTGAGAGGCGTCTTCCAATAGTGTCCTTTTCGGTCATTTTATAAAATTATTTATTTTTATATATTTTATAAAATGGTTCAATAAGTGTAATTTAGCCAACTTAGGGTTTAAATTTGTCAGAAGGAACTATTTGAACCAAATTAAAACTTTAGGAATATTTTTTGCACATAAATAATGTGATATGCATATTTTAGGAATATTTTATGCACTTGATCATACCAACTAAATAAACCATACAAAATTTAATTTTCTTTTCATTACTTCACTTTTACTTAGTTATTTTCCATTTAACCAAAGTAAAAAAGGAATTTGGGCTCCAAACTAATTCAAGTGAGCTAATGGATGCGTGAGTTCGTTGAAAAAATAAAAAATAAAATAAGAGTCATGTTATTTGGCCGAATAAAGTTTATGTGGCTACTCATGTGTCAAATATGAGGGACTCATTTTAAAATATAAGGTAATTGACTATTTGAAAAGTCGTAATCCCTTTTATAGGTTTATCTTAATATAGTATCTTTGTTAGCAATTAAAGTTTGGGCAAATTTCATGAAACCCCTAATACTATTAGTTTTTGAACAAATACCTACAACCTACTTTAGAAAACCCCCAATACTTTGAAAATTGATCACATTGCATCATGTCTGTCATTAAATGACGAAACTACCCTTCTGATATACCAAATTAATAAAAAAAAAGCTAAAATTGGTATTTTATCAATTACTAAAATAGCCTTAGTAACATTTAAGTTACCAAAGCACAAAACGACTGCGTTTTGTGTGTATATATTATATGTCTACTAAATGCGGTTGTTTTGATCAAACGCATTTCATGAAATTATTTATTTGGTTCGTATATATTATATGTATATGTACATGTATAATAAATAAGAATCTGACGCGATCAAAGGGATAGAAGGGGTTGTTGACAAACATACTGCTGGACGAAATGCTAAATTGCAAGCTCTACGATTTTGGGTCTATGAAGATGGGGTTCTCTTCCACTATTTTGCCACCGTTGTCGTCGTCGGCCAAGATGAAGTAACTAATGATGGGTTCACTCGGATACGTCGATCCTATGAGGACCGGAATCACATCGAAGAAGAATGATGTGTATAATTTTGGGGTCATTGTTTTAGATATCATTATGGGGATGGAGGCCTTTTGCTCGAAAAAGGGGAAAATGCTGACATCGATTGCCGGACCGATGTTGGTGGGTCATGAGGTAAAGACAGCGGCGGTGGCGGAGATGGTGATGATACAACCATAAAAAACTAAAAAATAAGAAAATGTGATAAGATAAAAAAAAAATGGAAATGAACGTATTCTATCAAAACAAGCATGGGTAATAATAATACATATTTAAGTTAAAATTCTACAATATCCTCCTCATATATTTATATCTATGCATTTTAAGTCATATTCACATTAAAGTGGTCAATAAAATCATTGTTCATAAAATAAAGTTCACATCATGGCAAGCCTACGCGCTTCCACGAAGCTCGTGAAACACGATTCACCTGATCAATAAAATTAAAATCCTTATCTTTTTAAATTCTTACCGCTCTATGTTAGGGTTCTGTGGTTTGTCCGACAACGAAAATGGTGATTTTTCCTGGAAATCTCGTCTGTAAAACCTCGTTCTGGCATCAACGTCTAGTCCTTTTGGTTCCCTGGTGAGAAACCCTCAAATGCCCTTTTTATTCTCTGTTTGTTTCCCTAGAAACTGTTTTTTTTTTTTTTTTTGGTAAATATTCCACAGAAACTGTTAGTAAATCAATAGAAATCTTTCAAAATTCAATTCCGGAAGCTCTTTTTATTTTCTGTGTTTTGTTTCCAATTAAATGCAGCTTAAAGGTCTATTGCTATTAAAAAAAAAATTCTATATTGCTAAGTACGGTACAGATTACTGGTAAATTTTCAGAGATTACGCATGTATTCATTCTTATAACAAGACAAGATTGATATGTAGGCTGAAACTGTCTCAATTCCCGGGCAATACTTGTTCGAGATGCAGAGTCTACTGTTCATCATCGTCATTTCCAGTTAGGTACATTCCAAATCAATCTTCAAAAGCCAAGGAAACAAAGACATCTCCTTTGCCCATAACGGGTTCAGAAGATGAAGAAATGCGTAGTGATTCAGACCCGAATATATCGAGAGTTGAGGTCTCGAATGGTTCACATAGAAGCTTTGTGTTGGATGAGAAGTCTCAGAGTCAACAAAATCAAAATCAAACACTGATTAACAAATTTACCTTTGGCACCAAACCAGGTACGGTTCTGATCAAGTTGTGTCACTGCTAGAATAAATTTCTTTTTTTTTCTTGCATTTTGAGATTTATAATATATTTTTTTGTATATACGAAAAATTCAAGCATTAGTTTTAGATGCTTCTGTGGAACTCTCAGGGGTGGAAGAAGAAGAAGTAGGTTGTGATTTGGGGATTGCGGACCATAAATTATTGGAAGACCTTGAGGAATTGAAAATCCATCAGGGTAAGGATCCTCGCAATCAAGATGCATTACTTGAAGGAAAAACTAAACAAGATGCAGAGAACTTGGCAATTGAATTCCTTGCAACAAGGTTAGTGTTAAAATTGAAGAGAGAAATAGAAAATGAAGAACACAAGGATATACGTGGTTCAACCACTAGGCTTACATTCACGACACACAAATCCCAAGCTACATATCTTTCGTTACATTTTGTTTATATTAACCACCTCTATTTATAGGTGAATTGGGGAAGACTTGTAATAAAGGAATTACATAGAAAGTCAAAAATAAATATGGCAACATCTTATTGCCCAAGTATAGTAAAATTAACATTATGTCAAGGAATGATTTAAGAGCTTAAATCACTCCTATAATTATTCTCCAACAGTTAGAATGTAGTTCTCCGGAATTGTAGCTTTGGTTTGTTATCTAGTCATTTTTGGAGAACTTGGCAGTTCCAAAAGTGTGTGTTTTGCTTAACAGGAGGAGGTTATATGAAAATCAACAATGGTATGAAATAGAGCCCAAACAAAAACTTTCAGGAGCAAACTCATGTCATGACCCCAAACAAACTCCTGCAGAAAGATGCTAAATTCACTATGTACTTGTACATTCATACAACACTTATCTATTACTACAAATTTGTGCAAGAATGAATCAAAACCACGCTATATTAAATTAGCAAGTAACCCATCACTATCCATCCTAGTAGCAGGTAGCTTCCAATGAACACCAAAGTTTCGATTTTGACTTAGATTGTGAGTTTCAGGGCTATCTTTATGATATTTATAAACCCAAAGAATCTGCCTCACATGCCCATCCTTATTGTTTGCCTAAGGAGGCCTTATCACAATAGTAATTCTTAAAAGTCAATTTTCTCAGTCTGTCCAAATACTGTGTATAAGAACACTAACAACTACCCTTCCAACCATGCATGGGAAAGATTTGCCTCAACTTCATACTCAACCAGCTTACAGTTTGATCCCAAAACCCTATATACTCACCAGACTGAATTTCTTCAAAACCTAAGATTACAAATGCGTTGTAAAACAATTTGTTTGAACAAAGCCTTTTCTCAACTGCCTGGGGTAGGTTACTGAATCTTGTTTCTTCATTTGCTATATTTAAGCTCATGTGTTTTGTTAAACCACATGGTACCATATTTTTCCTTACCATCTCTACTCATGTATTATTCTCAATAAGAACCACATCACTTTTTCTCACTGTTGTTGTTATTAGCCACTGCTGCAAGTGAGCAAATCGTCTTAATTGATTTTCTCTCATTTTCTCTCTAATTATAGCTACTTTGACTATCTCATGGATGTATTTCTTTCTAATTTTATTATTTCTTATGTTACACATCTATTTTAACATTCAAATTTCTGCCACACTAATGTTATCAATGTTCATGCATCCCTAGTATTATGAATGTTCATCTAATCCTAATGAAAGGTTTACGCTGCCTGTCAAGCTACCTAACGGAACCCTTTTCCCTTTTCTGTGTCTTGGACTGTGTGTAAAGATAAGGCACTGAAGATGATGTATGTGAATTTAAAAATCCGTTGTAAAACAACAGTTATGAAGTAGGTATTCATGTATTCATGCAATTCATTTACATCTAGAAAATACAAAAGTGGCTAGGTTCAATATACCTTTGGCAATTAATTGATCTTTTGTCACAAGCCCATGTGACGTAGCCAATCTTACCATGAACAAGAGGGCGAGTGATAGAATTCTCCAATCATAGCAAATGAACCCACTGAACTGAAATTACTGACCCCCTTAATGCAGTCTAACTAACCTTTACATTGAAAATTCCGGTTGGAGGAGGTAGCCAAACAATCTTATTTTCAATCTGAATTAGGTACTAGCAGCTGATCACTCGTGGCTTTTAGTTCAGGTAATTCTGAGCTGGAGACAGGCCAAACCCATTGAGATTGTGTAATAATAATGTGGATTTCCGAAATCTACCTGGTTATGCATCATAATTTCCCTTTTACTATATTTTTCAATTTAAGGCATTATAGTTCCTGCTGTTGTAGACTTAAAAAAGTACCAATTATCACAGGATGTGTGGTTTTGTAGCTGCACTTTGAATATTGCAAGTTTTCCACATAAAAGAGCTAATTGTTGCTATGTCAATAGTAGGTCAGTTCTCAATAAATTGTGATTTTTCATTCTTGGATGGTCATTGAATTTGTAGAACAATATTGATATTAGTTTGATTTTGGAACTTCAACTGGTCAAACTTGAATACAAAATCAGAAGTTTTTTATTACATAGTATAGGCTAAAATTTGTATAAGTTTCCCTATTACATTCATGTTGCAATGTTATTTTATTCTTGGCACTTAATAACTATAACAGTTAGAAGCATCACACACATTAGTTAGTTGTCCAATGGAATTAGCTGAGGAAGGTGAAAATATGAATAATTTCATTTTAGATGTAGTAGAAAGAAGCTTTATTGATGGATTTTGTTCATAGACTGCTTTTAGGAAAACCTTATCTAATATGGTGCCTCGTTTGTAAAATAATCCAAAATTGACGTTGGTTGAGAGTAAATTTGCTTTCAAATTGAGATTATATAAAACATTTACGCATAGATATCTAACAATGATATAAGATGCCAATAAATCTAACCTTGGTACTTTGGCACAATTAATACAAACACATACTATATTTGTTGAATCTTGCATCTAAAGATAACAAAGTTTTTGTCAAGTTATTTTTTCTTCATATCCTAAGAGTAAAATTCTGAATATTCAGTTACTGGAAACATGAGAGAGAGAGAGAGAGAGGGAGAGTTCTAAGTTTGAAGCATGTTTTCTTTATCTGCAGAGCATTTACTGCAGTTGAGCTGAGAAAGAAACTACATGGAAAGAGATTTCACCTTGATACTGTTGATGCAGTTATAAAAGACTTCCAGGGCCGGTATGTAACAAAGTATAACAGGATTATCCTTTTGAGTTGCATGCCAGGTTGTTCACATTTTTCCAGATACATATTGTTTTCTGTTGCACTAAATCACAATTTTTTTATATGTTTTTTTTTTTTTTAATTTTTTCTTTTTCATTAGGACATTAAAATATTTATCATCCAAATTTCTGCATTGTAAATCGTATTTATATATGTATTATGCAACTCTTTGACACCTCTAGTTTGTTGTAGGGGTTTCATCAACGATTGCTTGTATGCAGAAACATTTTCTCGGTCCAGATGGTCATCCTTAAAGTGGGGCCCTATGCGGATAAAAAAAGTAAGATGTCCTGTGTAATCACTTCCCCAATTAAGATTTTTTGGCATAACTATTTCCTATAATTTTGTTGCTTTCTCAGTTTCTTGGTTATTAGTTGGACCAAATATTTGTTCTCATGCTGCTTGATGATTATTTGTCATCAATTTCTGTTCTCTCTAGTCTCTGTTTGGTTAGATGGATATTAGTGGAAAGTGAAAGTGAAAGAAAGTGAAGTTCATGGAAGGAAAATTAATTGTGTCTACAATGTATTTGGTTACATGAAAAAATTTCAGGAAAGATGTGGAAAAGTACCATTTCATGGTTATGGTTTAGATAACATGGAAGTTGCAATAAAATATTATGGTTTACCTAAATTGTCCTTATTAGCCAACCACAAGTAGTTGGGAAAGAGGCTTGATTATTGTTGTTGTACCCAAATTGCCCTTGCTTTCATTAAATAGGATAATACGTCTAAATAAATTTATATTGGATAAATATTTTTGGTATATTTTTTTAAAATAAAAGCAATACAAAAATCTAAATAAATAATTTTGCAGGACATTTAGAGAGAGTTTTGGACCATTACACGTTTTATTTCAGAGACATTAAAAAGGCATAATTGTAAGTTCACACAACTTTCTCAAGAAAGCAGAACTTTTAGGTGTTTTTTGTAAGAAAGATTTATGGAAAAATTAAGTAATTATAAAAAATTACTTTCCCTAAAAATTTTTATTTTCTTGCTGTCCAAACTCCTATAATAGAAAGGTTTCCATTTCTTTTCATTTCCATCTAACCAAATGGTGCCTAAAAGAATTATTTATTTATTTATTTTGGTGTGTTCGTGTTGAGTTTGGACAGTTGGTTTTGCTGGCATGGGGCTGGGTGGGATCCATAGCTTAAACTTGGATAATGCAGTATAATCTTGAAAATATGATACCTTAAGATATCTGATATGTTTATTTATAATTGTAGTCGAATTGTAAAAGATAGCCTTAAAGCAACTTGACACCATAATTTGTGGTCTGTCTTTTGCAGATTTGGTACCTTAAATGATCATCCTTCCTTTGTTTATGAGATGATTAGGATGGTAGAGACCCAGAGGGTTAGGATAAGCGTAAAGAGTGGGTAGCTAAATTTATCTTGAAACATTAGTTAAACCCAAGAATATGCTAAAATCACCTAGATACTGAATCTAATTAGAAAGTCTGTCATCTCTGTAAAAATTGGTATTACATTGGAGGATCATTTTTTAGTTATACAGATATTTGAAGACGAGCTTCAGTTTTTGGTTAATAGATGACCAATCAGATATACTTGAACTAAAGTTTATATAAATTGTTTTATTCTTAAAAGGGAGTGTTTTCCGTTGATATATTTACTTGGGCACTGAGTTTTAAGTTTTGTTCCCTTTTCTAATGTTTGATATACATAAAAGGGAACATGAAAAGCAATAATGATTAAATTGTTTTCCCTCATGTTCACAACCAATGAGCCGGGCAGCATAGCATACAAAAGATTATTAGTTAGCTTATTGATATTACTTGGCATTGAGGTTAAAGTGGAGGTCACGAAAGATTGTTTTTAATACTTAAATGTTTATTTCTATTTATCTTTCAAAAAGTAAAATTAGGGAAATAATAAATCATTGACGTAAGGGCTTTATTTGGTTTCTGTTATGTTTGAGGGATAGTGTTTACCACTGACGATGGACTGTTGTTTGTTGGATCAGGCACTGTTGAAGAAAGGAGTAAGTGAAGTTGAAGCAAATAAGGCTATAAAACTAGTATTTGAGGATGGTGATTCTGGTGGAGATCAAGAGTCAAGACTTGGATTGTCAAAGCTTTCAATGGATCAATTATTTGTTCAGGCCACAAAGCAGTGGCTCCGGGGTAGGAATGTGCCTTGTGAGATGCGGAAATCAAGGATTATCCGGTGGCTTCAATACCGTGGCTTCAATTGGGGTGTCGTTATTGTCATCTTGAAGAAGTTACAATCCGAGTATCCCCCATAGAGCACTGTAGCACCTTCAATTGTTGTGCCATCAATGAGATTGAATGGGTCGGTATTTTGTGATTGAGAGAATGTGGCAACTCCACACAGAATGTAATCCCTTGGTGTGAAGATGGCAGGATAGCTGTCACCTTGAGGTACATGCTAACTTAGGATAGAGATGGAAAAGTGGATCTACTTGGGGATCAAAATCATCTGCTGCAACTAGAATTCTCATATATTCACGTGATCGAAATAATTAGTAACATCCATCCATTTGTTGCGTAAATGATTTTGCGGTGTAGTTACTTGTATAAACAATTTATTGTAGAAATGTAGAGCCGGGGATATTATGCTAGCAACTGGCATTATCCGGATTATGGTTATTGTCATGGTGAATATTTGAATGTGTGTTGGATATGTAGACTAATGGAATCTTAATTTGGATTCTTTTTGGATTTTAATACAATGAACTTACTTGAGAGAGAGAACATCAATATTGACTTATTTTCTACCAACCCTTTATTTCACTTGGTGGATCTGGATCTGGATCTGATGTTGTTATATAACTTATATGAGACTTTGATTGTTTGGGTGTATATAATTTATAGTTATATGTGTCTGTCTTTTGGTCCCTGCTTGTATCTGTTCTCTGTATTAGGACGTAAAATTTCTTCTGGAACAAGATTGGTTTAAAAGAGTATTAGTATTATTATTTCATTACTGGAAACTGGAAAGTCTCACTCAATCAGAACATCACACGGGCACGTGATGTTGGAGCGTGGGACCATGTGAGCACTGCTGGAAAGAATGGCAGGCTGGCTGGCTGGCTGGCTGGCTCTCTATTTGTGCGTGTGTGAAAGAGAGAGAGAGAGAATCCCAACCCCTGCATTAAATTCTAATCACATAATTCCAAAACAACCAATCATTGCTCCAGCTTCTACATACTACTCTTTACATTCTCATCAATCCCCAAGAAAAAGGCCCTCGGGGCCATCCATCCCAACTCCCAACAAGCTCTCTGGAAAACAAATTACAGCCCCCCCCCCCTCCTATCCTCTTCCCTTTCACAAGTTCCATAAAACACTAATAATATTTTTCATTACATTTCTTTTATCTAGAAAAATATGTTAATAATTAATTCTTCAATCTACAACAATCAGATAAAGTGAGAAAAAAAAAAAAAAAGAAAAAAAAAAAGAAAAAGAAAGGAAATTAACAATAAAAATCCTAATGTAATTTCCCAGCGTGCTCTTCTTGATTCTCCTCCAACGGAAACAGAATATAAGTATGCGAAAAAAGCTTTATTAGCTCCTCCTTGGAACTTTATTTAGACTGAATCATCGGAGAAAGCAAAGGAACAATTGGAGGATCCTTGTAAAACCATATTCCGAGTGGGAGGCGATGGAGGAAGTGCTGGCGAACCCCTCTTCAGCAGGTTGGGCTGTGACCTTGCAGGATCAACATGTCGAATTTCCTTGAGCATTGCTACAACATCCTTCATCATTGGGCGATCGTTGGCACGAGTGGTGACACACAGAAATGAAACGGCTAGTGTTTGTAGCATTTCGTGCATCTCGGGGTCAGCCCTTCCTCTGAACTTGGTGTCAAGAATGTCAATCGGGTCGCGCTTACTGTGCAAGTGGTCACGAACCCACTGAACCAAGTGTGCACCACCTGGCAAAGTTGGGTCTAATGGATGCCTCCCTGTTAAGACCTCCAAAAGAAGCACACCAAAGCTATACACCTCGCTCTTTTCTGTAATACGTTGCATTGAAGCATGTTCTATGAATCCCCAAAGCAAAGAAAGAAAGATTTGATTAGTGGAATGAATATTAGTGAAAAAATAATTAATCTGAGATAAAATGAATGAATAGTTAATTACCAGGAGCCATGTACCCAAAAGAACCAGCAAGGTGAGGTCTCTGACTTTGCTGCTTTGAATTTGAAAGATGATGATGATGATGATAATCATAATCATCACCATTGCTAGTGACAAGCCTAGCCAACCCAAAGTCAGCAAGATAAGGTTCATAACGAGGACCCAACAACACATTCATGGCTTTGACATCCCCATGCAAGATAGGAGGCACACTATCATGGTGCAGGTATGCAAGTGCATGTGCCACACCCAAGACAATATCATATCTAGCCTCCCATTCTGCTCTTCCCTTACCAGCTCCATGAAGCAGAGAGCTCAAGCTTCCATTGGGAAGGTAATCATAGAACAGCAATTTCAGCGTCTGATTTGAACCCCAACCTAAGAGACGCACAATATTCCGGTGCCGGATTGAACCCAGTGTCTGAATTTCAGAGCTGAAAGCTCCCGAGTCTTCTGATGACCACATCTTTTTCACTGCCAGTGTTTCCCCATTTGGAATTGTCACCTTGTATACAACTCCAGAGCTTCCAGTGCCAATCACATTAGCTGATGTTAGATTGCAGACTATGTCATTAATGGAGAATTCCATCTTCTGATAAAATGTCAACTCCCAATTGTCACACTCCATGGAACCACTGTTGGCCATACGGGCCTGAACTAACATGTAAATAGCAAGTAGCAATAGTACTGCGCTGATGCTTACAAGGATTGACATTGCTAGCTTCATTGTTGATTTGGCACGTCCTGTACCTTCCATTCTGTCAGCAGGAGTTACAACCCCACCGGAAATATATAGAGCTTGGTTTCCGGCAAGGTCACTTAGAGGGAGTTTACGGAAGAATGGGGTATTGGGTAATTCACCGGAAAAGGAATTGAATGACACGTTGAGGGATACAAGGTTTTGAAGGCTTACGAGAATGTTTAAGTTCCCCGTAAACTTATTGTGGGAGAGGTCAAGGATTCCAAGTTTGGTAAGACCTGAGAATTCCGATGGAATCTCACCGGTGAATTGGTTACCGCTAATGTTGAGAGATATTTCGAGTGCTGGAATTTGACCCAATTCTTTTGGTACATCACCCGAGAGAGCATTGTTCCCAAGATCTAGCAATTGTAGCTTACTGCAAGATAGGATCTCTGCTGGGATCCTGCCGGAAAGTTGATTCTTTCCAAGATTGAGTTTGGTTAATTCGGTCAATGAACCAACACTGGGAGTCAGTGGACCCGTAAGTCTGTTGTCCGAAATGTCCACAAACTGTAGGCTTTTGGGCAGTGTACCGGGCAGAGAACCTGTGAGTCCATTTGAATGAAGATCAAGAAACTCAAGGTTTCTGCATCCAGATATTGAGGGAGGAATTACCCCTACTACATGATTATTGCTCGTATCAAGGAAATTTAAACTTCTCAAATTTCCAATCTCCGATGGAATAATACCCCCCAGCCCGTTTTCATTCACTCGGAACCTATACAAGTTTGTGCAGTTTCCAATATCAGGTGGTATAAAGCCTGATAAATCATTGGAAAGTAGCAGGAGCTTGGTAAGATTTTTCAATGCAAAAATCTCTTTCGGTATTGAACCAAAGAGGTGGTTGTAAGAAAGATCAAGAGCCTGAAGGTTCTCACACTCAGCGAGAGAGATTGGAATTTTGCCTGTTAGCTTATTCTGCCAGGCAAAGAACAGAGTCAACCTCTTCAATTTACCAATTTGAACAGGAATCTCACCAGAAATTTCATTGTTGTCTACTTCCAGTTGGGTCAGAACCGTGCAATTCGAGAGTTCAGAAGGTATAGTACCTGATAACTGGTTAACGCTCAGCTGAAGCTCTTGAAGCCCCAGAAGGCCTCCAAAACTTGTTGGTATGCTTCCTGTCAGTAAATTCTCCGACAACTCCATGACTTTGAGCTCCCTGCAGCTTCCAAGCTCATATGGGATTGTGCCAACTATGCTGTTCTGCCATAACAGCAGACTCTGAAGCCTTTTGAGCTCCCCAAATTTCCTTGGGATTGGACCGGATATGGAATTCTGATACAAGTAAAGGTTCTGCAACTCACTGCAGTTTCCAATCTCTTCTGGGATAGGACCTGACAAGAGAGTTGTGTAGATGGCTATGGTCTGAATTCTTTTCAGCATCCCAATTGACAAAGGGAGACTCCCAGAAATACTAGTTACAGCAATGCCTAACATGATCAAATTGGTGCAGTTTCCAATCTCCCATGGCAGCTCACCTTTAAGATTTTGGTTTCCACCTGCTCGGAAGATTTCAAGATTGCTCAAGTTTCCAATACTGTTTGGAATTTTGCCGCTGAGCTGATTGTCATAGAGAGTTAGATACACAAGACTCGAGAGATTTCCAATATCTGATGGAATTTCACCTTGGAGAAAATTTGTATTGAGAGATAAACTGTGCAGTTTGCTTAGCTTGCAAATTTCCACCGGGATTTCTCCTGTGATGGAATTGTCACTGATATCAATGACGCCCAGTTCACTATACCCTCCAAACTCCTTTGGAATCTTACCGGTGAGATTGGTTGATGAGAGAATAAGAGTATTTAATGAGGTGAGAGATTCAAAATTTGAAGGCAATGGACCTTGGAGATCCATCGATTTTAAGCTTATCTTGAGCACTTGGTGGTTTGAGTTGCAGTGTATCCCAAGCCAATTGCAAGGAGTTTGGTGTGAAGAATTCCATGATCTCAGAGCATCCGTGGAGCTGTTTAAGGTGTTCTTCCATGTTAGAAGAGCTTGGGATTGTACATCATCAATATTAATAATATTGGAGTAACAAGAAGAGAAGAAAAGAGTGTTTATTGAGAGAAGTAATAATAATGTGGAGGAGGAGAAGATTTTGGGAGAAAGTAACGGATTTCTTAGGGGTGCATGCATTGCTGAGAGCTAAGAACAGGTGATGGTTTTTTTGGGGATTGTAGAGGGGGGAACCCCATGTTTTGTTTATAGAGGAAAAACAGAAGATCTGGATCCAAGAGAGCTGCTTCATTTCTTTTGTTTATTTATTTATTATTATTGTATTAGTGTATTGTTGTTAATTGATAGATAGATGGTGATGCAGATGGGTTCTTTTTAGTTTTATTAATGCATATAAGTCTTTTATGGGCTCTTTGTTTCGGTCCGTTCCACGTGCAAATGGTTTTTTTGGATTTTGCTTTTCGAGTGATGATATTTACAGCAGGAGTAGTTAGTTATTGTTGGAAGTAAATGTCAAAAAAATGGTGGTGTTGTATGGCCTTGCCTGGCTTGTACAGATATTAAATTTCCTGGTTTCTTCTTTCATGCTTACTTTAAGAATTTTTGCTTTGTTGTTTCTCCATTTTTGGTCACCTGTGTTTAATCTCGGCCGGCCACATGCTTTTACAATGTTGAGAGAGAGAGAGAGAGAGGAGAGAGAGAGAGAATGACAATGTAGTGTCCTGGATTTTTGGGTATTTATTTATTTTCTGGACATTATTTTATTTTATGTGGGGTCGATATATTTTATTACATTATTTATTTGATATGTGTCATTAAGATGTTATATATATGTGTGTGTGTGTGTGTTTTTGTGGATGAGTTAGTGGTTGGAGATTTTTGTTGGGATAAGGTGGGTATTGTTTTATAGAATGGAGGACATTTTGGTAGTTGGGCAAGTCAAATTATAAGATACAATGTGAGCCACATGTTTTGAGTGGCTATGGTTTGGTCTTGGGATTCTTTGACCAACAACCACATCACCCCACCATCACCCACCACCTTTTCCTCTCTCTTCATCTAGGCACACTCTCTCTTCTCTTCCATTTTTCCTTTTCTTTTCTTTCCCTCATTCTTGAGCAGCTATAGTTGGGAAAATTGTAGATCGTGGCAAGGGGAACATTTTGGCACCGGTCTTGATTCACTTTGGGTCGATTTCAGGCTTGGATCTTGAGATAGAGGTCTTCATTTGAGGTAGGGAAGTGTAAACTTTAAGGTCTTGGGTTTTTATAAGTTTTCTGTATGTGATTTTGTGGAAAACATGCTTATGTGAAAGATGTGTTCTCGTTTGATGAGGTTCTTGAGATTTGTTTTGTTTCACATGAGTTCATGTTATATGCATATGTGATGATGCGTTTAATTTGGGCAAAAACATGCTATTGTGATGATAATGATGGGTATGTGTTGATTTCTTGAGAAATGTCATGATATTATATGTTGATTTCTTGAGAATCGCTATATTGATGATGATAATGCATATATTTTAAATTCTTGAGAAAATGATAATGAATGATGCATAACTTGCATATCATAACCATTGGTTGGGTTTGGGTTGGAATGTATGTTATATGGTTTCTAATTATTTTGAAAAGATTGATTTGGGAAAGTTTTGAAAAGGATTTTTGGAAATGATTTTGTGAAAACGGACGCCATGGAGTCGCCATGTAGTCCGGGGTTAGCCAACCTAGAAGGGAGACACGAGACGGCTTTGACGTGTATAGTTGAACTACCTAGGCTCCAAATGACGCTAAGGAGATGCCCTAGGTCAGGGATAGCTTGTCAATTTCCTTCATGATGCCTAGGAGACGCTTAGGGTTTGGTTGTGTTAACATTTTTGGTGTGAGTTGTGTTATGACGGAAATGATTTTGGGAAAATGGTGAGAGTGCATTCATAGGGTTCATCTCATTATTGAAAAGTATGGAAGTTTAATGTTGATACTTGATTGTTATTTTTTCCCCAATTTATATGATCTCTCCCTTTTGTACCCTATACTTTACGTGTGATTCACGGGATTACAAGAGCTGTATTTTAGGCTATCCATGCTGAGCTGTTGTGCTCACCCTATATTTAACATTTTCAAGAAATGGCAAGGACATAATAGATGACGTACCCTCGTAAGCTAAGTTTTAGCTTGATGATATCTTTTGTAATCATTTTGTAAAGAAATTTTTTTTGGATATTAAAGACATGTAATGACCTTATTCTTATGTCCGTTTCATGAGAAACCGTTGTATTTGTGGTCACCGAGACCTTTGCATATAATTATATTCTTTTGGGTACATTTTATCATTTCAAAAAATGTAAAAATGCTTAAATGGAGATTTGATTATCAATGATGAATGTATGACGTTATTTTGAAGATTCAATGCGATGTTTACATGTTAAATGATGTTGTGCCAGAACTATTATCATGTTGGTAGCCTTGGGAATGCATTGAAATAGGTTTGAGAAGTGTTCTAGATGGCAAAAAAGGGGTTTCGGGCACTATCTAGTCGGTTAGATGGTTGATCTAATCGGTAGGATCAGATTTAGGGTTTATCTAACCGGTTAGATGCCCCCATCTTATTGGTAAGATGGGGTTGGCAGTGGGTATTTTTGGCTTGGGGACCATATGTGCGCACAGATCACTGAAGTGTGCACACCGATGGGCATTTGTGCACACAGATGGTCCTATGTGTGCGCAAAGATGGCCCTGGGATTTGGTTTTGCGCTACTGGATTGTCATCGTAAAGATAAGATGACCCAAGTGTGCACACAGATTGTCAAATATTTGCATTTTGACCCCAGACTTCAGTATAATTACATATTTACCCCCTGGACATGTTCCTAACCATTGAATGACCCTAATAAATGACAGATTTACCCTTTTTGAGTCATAAGCCATTTTTGACCATACCAAGTGACTATTTTACCTTTGGGGACTTCAGACTATTATTTTAAATTTAAAATAACTGTAGTACCCTTTTGTGACCTTGGGTTCATGTAAGGACCCGGGTAGCGATCTGGACCCTGAGTTTGGGTTGTTACAGATTTGGTATCAGAGCGATGGTTTGAATACCATCAGGACATGGGAAAGGCCTATATAGATGGGGTAGATGAATTATTTGCATTGTTTATTTAATACGTGCAAGGTGTTTAAAGTTTTGTATGCATGCTTGCATGTTTAAATGTTAAAATACATGTTATGTGGCTATGTGTGTGAGGTGTTTTATATTGTTATGACTGTCAAGTGAGTTGCTTTCGGACGTCATTTTCGGGCTGATTGTTAGTGTTGCTTTTGTTGACTCGTTTTCTCGTTTCATAGCAATATGCCACCACGAAACGAACCAAGAGGAGTTAGCTCCAGGCTAACTAGAGGCGAGGTTAGGGAGAGTTCTAGTTCTAATCCGGTGGAGCAGGTTGATGATGAGACACTTCTTAGGGATTTGATTCCACCTAGGGGTGTTCCCGCTAGAAGGGAGAATGTTGAGGCTAGTGAAGGTTCAGTCAGGCAGACCTTAATCACTTTATTGCAAGATGTGTTGCAGGCCACGGTTGATATAGTTCCGCAACTGGCACCCCAATCATTACCACGGGCAGTTGTTCCACCGGAAGAGACAGATATGGTAAAACATCTTAAGCTTATTTTGAGGTTCGTGACGCTTATGCCTACGTTGTTTGAGGATAGCACTGACCCTATGATTGTGGATGATTGGTTTGATCAGGTGGAGAAACACTTGTTCACTATAGGTGTCCTGAATGATCGTTTGAAGATTATTTTGGCCACTTTTAATTTTTTTAAGGAAGCGAAGATGTGGTGGAAGCCAGTTGCGAATCAGTATGATGTTGAAGCTATAGATTGGGACACCTACAATAACTTGCTTTATGAAAAGTATTTTCCGATGACCAAGAGGTGGGAGTTGCAAAATGAGTTTGATCACCTCATTCAGGGCAATATGACAGTGATGGAGTATGAGAGCAAGTTCACTACTCTCTCTCACTTTGCTCCAGATTTAGTGAGAGATGAGGCGAACACGACTCGCAAGTTTATTTTTGGCCTTCATTACACTATCAAGCTAGTAGTGGCAGCTCAACACATCAAGGTATATGCAGAGGCAGTTGAGAGAGGCTTAGTCGTGGAGATTAAGGTTAATGACCGGAATGCGAACAGGGAGTCGTGGAGACAGGGTGGGAATGCAGGTGGTATGATAGAGGGGCAATCAAAGAAGAAGCACAAGGGTGGATCCTCAGGTTTATAGGGGCATCAGTTGGCACAGTTTGCACTTACCACTCATATTCTGACTAGTTCTTCCAAGTCGGGGTAATATGTTTCGGATGCCAGCATCTAGGCCATTACAGATCACCATATCCTTAGGACTTACCTGGTGACAGAGCTTGTTTTTGATGTGGCCAACATAGTCATATCAAGAGGGATTTTCCACGACATAGAGGTGGTATAGCTAGTGGTAAAGGGTTACAATAGAGGCCAGCGTAGTCAGCCATAACTCAGTTAGGGTTTTGGCCACCGCTACCACCACATCGCGACCAGCTAAGGGAGTTCCTTTTAATGCACCTACCTGGCAGTCAGGCTATCATACTAGTGGATTTCAGAGGTAGAGGACCCCGGGTCGGGTGTATGCAGTTACTCTAGCTTTGGCTCCAGTTGAGTTATATCGTGGCCCATCAGTTGTCAAGGGTATACTTCTTATGTTTCATTCATGGGCTAGAGTGTTGTTTGATTCTGGTGTATATTATTTCTTTATTACATCATCTTTTGCATCTGCGTTAGGATTAGAGGTTAATCGGTTAGACAGACCACTTAGTGTTGATACGCTAGTTGCAGTCTCGATTGTTCTTGATGGAGTTTATCGCAATTGTGTTGTTACGATTGCGGGACGGACGCCCGAGTTTGATCTCATCCTTCTCAAGATGACGGGTTTTGATGTCATCCTTGGGATGAACTGGTTGTCATCGTTTTGAGCAGTCATTGATTATTTCAGGGGAAGAGTGTTAGTTTGTACTCCAGACAGAGATCGGGGTGATTATCTCATTTCTTCATTTTATGGTATGAAGAGTCGTGATCAACGTGATTTATTCTTGGCTAGTCTTTTGGCTGATGATGATGGGTTTCGTGAGGAATTGCATTCGGCTGTTGTAAGTGATTTTTTGGATGTGTTTTCGGAGGATTTTGTGGAGTTGCCTCCACATAGGGAAGTAGAGTTTGCCATTGATCTTCTGCTTGGTATGACACCCATTTCTATGACACCGTATCGTATGGCACTAGCAGAGCTGGAAAAGCTTAAGA